AGTAACAAGATCGGCAGTTTAAGACATTAGCTTGTAAGCACAAAACATAAGATACTTCTCTTTTCAATATAAATAAGGCTTTATTGGATAAATCTAAGACATATAAACTAATCTAACACATGAACACATGCATTCACACATTCACACAAGTTGCAGGAAGAGAGAAAGTGAGGACAGAATGAATTTAAGAGAATGAAAATGTAAAATCCCAAGTTTATAGCATTATGTGCAATTTAGGGATGGGAAGATTCCCCGATTTGCTCGGTGCATCGGCATAAAAAGTTAACGATGTGATACATCGGTTTAAAAAGTGTGCATCGGCTACAAGTTGTCATTTATATCGCGATGCATTGTTTCTAACATACACTGAACAAAATTATAAACGCAACACTTTTGTTTTTGCCCCCATTTTTCATGTAACACAGATTTAGACAGATTTGTGAACAATATTTGAGAGAAATAGGCCTTTTGTGTACATAGAAAAAGTCTTATATCTTTGAGTTCAGCTCATGAAAAATGGGGGCAAAAACAAAAGTGTTTAAAAGTGTGATTATAATTTTGTTAAGTGTATTTGCATCGGTAAAACCCGATTTATTTATATACAATTACTAGTGGATGCGCTATACTTTTATTATTTAGAACGTGACCAATAATCTGTGACCAATATTTTATATGTAGATTGAGTTCTCCTCTATAAACTGTTTCACAAGCGCGTTCTCTCATCACTGCTGCTGCTGCATGAATATGACGCATCACAACACCACGGAGACAGAGGAAAAACTGGGATTAAAGTCCAAAACCTGACTTGAAATAACCTAACAAATCAATCGGGGCTAAAGCGGTTCCATTAATGACAAATTAAATTCACACAATCTCACTAATTTGTGCATGCTTATTCTTAAGCAGACCTTAATGTCGATCATGGATCAAATCGATCCACCATGACAAACAACGAATATATCTGTGCTGTTTAATGCATTTGAGACGTTGTGTTTTCCTCAGTGCATAACTGACATGTCACAGGTATATTTTCATCTGTAAATGTTAGAAAGTCATGCAAACATATCCATTTTGCTGTCAGGAGTGGGCGAGGCATGCGAGGGCAATGAGCGTTGCTGCGCACATGTGCACTAAACAGACTGAGCGCAATAATTCTGAGTAAAATATACATTTTGCTAAAAAAAATAGTTTTTGGACATTAAATAAACCTACATATAAAGTGTATTTTTTTGGCTATGCATCGAGATGCGTATCGTATCGGCCTAAGTCATGAGATGCACATCCCTAGTGCAATTTCATAGACCTGAACAACCATCAATCACTTAATTAACCCTCCCATTGAGTTCCTCAATTAGGTTAAAATTTATATTAAATGCACCAGTTCAGC